AATTTGCACTATTTCTGGCAGTCTGCAACCCCCCTATGTCTCTGAACAGTCAAAAACAAGCATTCTTACTTAATTTTATCAATCTGAAACACTTTATCCCTCAGCATCTTGTAAATTCAGTTCCCAAAAGATTCCCATTTCTGGTAACAAAAGATTTAATGATTACAAAGAATATGCCATGCAAAGATAACTATTTTGAAATACTGAAAAGTAGTATGTGTGTGTATGGATGAATAAACTGGGATCCATTGATTCCTTGAACTAATGTAAGGAACTTTTACTGATGAATGTCACACACACAATTCTAGCCAATTCTTAGCTCTCACCATGATCCCTCTATATGTATCTATGGATAACACAGAGTTGCAGCACAAGAGAAAACAGAATTTTAGTCTTCTTGGTCTTGCTTCCAATCCAGTGTTCATCTGTGCTTTTTAAGATTTTCATGCTATTATGCATCATATTCAGAACTACTGAAAACTGGAAATGAGGTATCTAATAAAAATATTTTGTCTGTATTTTGATTTTGTGTAATACAGGTTACTATAAAGATAGGAAATATGAGCCTCAGTAAACAAGACATACCACTGCAGTTGGAATTTTTATCCTGATATATCTACAACATGGATATACTTGCCATAGGTTTAATATTCTCTACTACACACATTTTGAACCCCCCCCCAAAAAAAATTAAGAAGGTAGGATTCTTCATAGAAGAAAAAAAATGAAAATAAATTAATCACCACTTCTTTCAGTTCTTAGCAATGAAGGTTCCGCCATCTTTGGAATACCATACAAAAATATTTAAAGATGAGAGCATTTTTCACAGATTAGAAAAGGACGACAGCAATAATGCTGCAGAACAACAAATATATTGATATTATCTATTTTGTGCTCCTACAGAAGAGCCATTTGATGATTCAAGCTTCCATTACTGCTGAGTACTGTCAAATGGTTCATAAGGCTTTTAGTATGGCAAAGCTACTGCTGAAACTGCATTCTGAATTTCCAATACTATCTGAGAAAACTATTCATCTGACAAAACTTTTTCCACTACTTCTGACTAAAACTTCAGCCAAAGCTATTACCCAATCAATATTCTTCTAAGAGAGCCTGCAATAAACAACTTTTAGAAAAATAATATATAGAAGTCAATACTTTCCCCTAGACTATCCTGTACTGGTAATGCAAGCATGCATATTGTACAGAACTCTTCATGAAACAGTAGGTAAAGACAGCTTATTTTTAATACTGTTTTGTTAAGTGCTGTGAGCACTATTTTTTGCAGAAAGGAAAAATAAAAATGCTTTGTTTTGTTAAGTGCTTTGAGCATGATTTTTGCAGAAAAGAAGAATAAAAATGTAATATACAGTAACTATGCCATGAACACAACAAAAAAGTCAAAGCTTCTTCAAGTCACTTTCTTTTTGTACACACAATTAATGCATTAGCCAACAAGTTCAACAACACCACAGAATTTAATCAGCTAAGGCTTTCAAGTTATTATAATTCCCCATTAGGAAGGGGATATTCCCTTTGAAAGGTCAATATTATGCTATTTTACAATCTACTCTTCCTTTTAAATGAAACCTTTTCTTACAGTGGTCCCTCCACATTTGCTTGGGTTAGGGGCATAGGATCCCCATGAAAGTGGAAAAACCACAAATAACAAAAACACTATATTTTTAACTGAGAGAACACCTCTCTAGGAATCTCTAGGTCCTCCAGTGCAACCTTTATTTAAAGTTGACCACAGAGTTGCACTGGGTGAACTAGATATTCCAAGAGAGAGCATATTAATACAATTTGTGAATAATCCAATCTGCAAAAGTCAAATCCACAAATGTGGAGGGATGACTATTACTTATCTTTTGAAATTCTAACAGAAGAACTCCTAATAGTTAGTTAGCAAGGACAGGGAGAAGTGTTTTCACTTGCTCAGAGCAAGATGGATAAACTCAAAATCTGTTCTGCATTTATATACATTAATATGCTGAGTAACAATATTTTCTACCATTCAGTGGTTCAAATGAGTGCACACAAGTCACCATGTATGTATGATGTACTCTATGCACTCTTGGTTAGCATAATTATCCTATCCTAAATTATACTTAATAGCCATCCAGAAATATGAAGGAAGGACAAAGGATATTTTTCTGAGTAAAGGTGGTGCTAAAATATTTCAAACCTATCAGAATGCATTATAGTCAGATATATTGTGTTTCCAACAAAACTAAGCCTTTATTCCAAATATGCTACCTGAGAAGCTTTAGGACTTGTGAAAGGCCTGCTATATGGACAAATTTTGAAATAAAAATCTGGTACACAAATATACTGATGTAACATCTAAAGGGAGGTATCCCTTTTACAGGGATCAATAACCTTTTGCCTTCAGATTTTTGGCCTACAACATCCATCGCACCCACTCAGCACTGCCAATGGTGAAGAATTGTGGCAGTTGTAGTCAAAAACATCTGGAAAGGTCCTCCAATCTGGGGTGATGACAGGGACAAAACAGGAAGGAACAGACTTCTGCCAATTTGTTAAAATTATTCCACAAAGCAGAGGGAGGAATCACTGCCTCCACCTCCACTTTACAATGATAGCACAGAATCTAGACCAGGGGTAGGCAACCTTTTTGGGCTGGGGGCCAGGTTGCTGTCCCTCAGACAATTGGGGGGGGCCAAAGCACCAAAAATAAATAAATAAATAAATAAAAATTAAAATTAAAAAATTAATAAAAATTAAAAAACTTATGCATGCACACTCTCTCAGCTCCAGAAAGTCATGGCAAAACCCCTGTGGAGATTTTGCCAAGAAAACCCCAAGAACAAGTAATAACAACAATAATCAATATCATTATGGCAGGCGGTGGCGGCAGCGGTGGCAGGACCAGACTTGGGCCGGTACAAAGGCCTCAGGGGGCCGCATCCGGCCCCCGGGCCTTAGGTTGCCTACCCCTGATCTAGACTAACACAGCACTCAATTACAGCACATATCAGCAATACAAGTATATACACCCATGACAGGAAGAGCCCAATTCAAATTAAAGGGCACACAGCACAGGCCTGCCATGACCCCACACAGAGCATTTAAATACACAGAAGGGATCAGTGGGGATGGGAGCCATGATGCTAAGATGCTGTATGAATATCCTCGACTCAGGACACAGAGGAAGAACATCTGTCTTTCCAGAAACTCCCCACCCTGAGCCCTTCCCAGGACTCCAGACCCAACTCCCACAAGCCAACATGCAAGGCCAAAGCACCTCATAGAGATAAGATTTAAAAATGTATGCTGAAATTCAACTCATGTTCCACAAATGCCCTTTACTCATGGTCCCACTGTGGATCTCTACTTCCAGATCCTTTCAGGGGGGCAAGAAGGCCTCCTCTCATTCTCCCCCCACCAACAAGTCAATTCTGGATTGTTGTTACCCACTAGCGACACAGATGTCCAAGCACATTTTTGATTGCTATGAGAGCTAAAGCTCACTGGCAGCACAGAAGCTGCAATCTTAAATAGCCATGCAGGGATTGAGGTGAAAAGGGCTGAGGTTAACAGGAGGAGGCTTTGGTGGCAAATACATGACTGAGTGGGGCAGATACAGCCCAGGGATCATACACTCATGCATTACAGTATGTATGTGCTGTTGCTTTAATACTACAGTGAAACAATGCATTTTTAAAAGCAGATTTTTCCCCCACAGAAAATTACAATACTGTAGTTGAAACTCTGCTATTACTGTTCACAAGAGACAGCGTAAACTCCCTTTTGGTGAATGGAAGCAAAGGTACTATTAATATAAACACTCAAGGGCATCTTTTTCCTGCAGCATCAAAGCCTGATACATGGAGCAAGGCAAACAAACAACAGAGAGTGTTTCACTGCATCCCCTAGCAGGGAAAGGGGTAAATACTGTCTCACCTAGAACAAAGAGCGGGAGAAGAAATGTTAAGGCAAGAGCTTTGGAACAGTACTATCTTCATTGCTCCCTCACAAAACCTTATTCTGCATGCAGGTCCATGTGCTGCAGCTGCTGGCCACTGTCTATTACTGTGCTTCACCTCTCTACAGGCAACTCTTCTACAGCAGCTGAGTCCAGAACCATCCACATGTCCAGTATCCTTCAGACTACAAGATGAATGATATCGCCATGATGATATTAATTATTGTTATTACTTGTTCTTGGGGTTTTCTTGGCAAAATCTCCACAGGGGTTTGCCATGGCTTTTCTGGGGCTGAGAGTGTGCATGCATATTTTTTTAATTTTAAAAATTATTATTATTATTATTATTATTTATTTATTTATTTATTTATTTATTTTGGGTGCTTCAGTCCCCCAATTGTCTGAGGGACAGCAACCCGGCCCCTGGCTCAAAAACGTTGCCTACCCCTAATGTAGCTAACAACTACAAATCAATACAAACTTTCTGTCAATTTTTTAAGGTGATAATTAAACTTTACGATACCCCCTCATATGTGCATTGCATATCTGCATACAAGTTGTACAGGTAAGGTGAAAGGATTTAGTCTTGCCTGACCCCTTCGTCAATTAGGAATATTCTGTTTCTCCATATTCTCTTCTATCTGTAGCCTTTAGCCATAGAGATTTCTCACCAGGACTACTGAATTTAGCAGCACTCCCATGTCTTTAACAGAGACTTTCTCAATAACACACATAATTTTATACCACTACAATTTGCCTTTTCTTATACAGACTCTTCCCTCAGAAAAGAGTTTCTCCATTCCTTAAATCATTCTGTTCTCTCTTTTCTGCACCTTTTCCAGCTCTATAATATCTTTTTTCAGATGCAGCGAACCACATAGTACAAAGTACCCCAGCTGCAGCTGCACTATAAATGAACATAATAGCAGTATGGTTTCAATTCCCCCCCCCCCCCCCACAATTATGCCCCACCAAAAAGTTTCCATTTCCCCCCCCCACCCAGCCCTTTATAGCAACTGCACAGTGTGTCAACATTTTCATTAAGCAGAGAGCCGATGTGGCACAGTGGTTTGAGTGTTGGGCCACAACTCTGGAGACCAGGGTTCAATTCCCAGCTCAGCCATGAAACGCAATGGATGACCTTGGGCCATGGCAAACCTCCTCTGAACAAATCTTGCCAAGAAAAACCCTGTGATAGAGTCACCTTAGGGTCAACATAAATCAGAAATGACAGCAAACAACAACAAATCTACTACAAGTTGAAGATCACTTCCTTAGTCAGTCACTGCCAAGTCAGATCTCCCTTTATGTCAAGTTGGTATGTTTTGCCCCAACATGCATCGCTTATACTAAATATCATTTCCCACCTAAATGCCCATTCTCAAAATCTGGAGAGAATCTTTTAGGGCTCTCCACAATCCATTTTTGTTTTCACTGCTCTAAAAAATGTGTCATCAATAAATATGAACCCTAAACTCCAGGACTGTTAATGACGTTAAAAAGCACCCATGCTAAACTCAGATCCCTGATGAAAAGCCACTGTTCATATCCCTCCATTGCCAAGAATTTACCATTGTTCTTACTCTCTGGTTCCTAATCTTTAACTAGTTTGAATCTATAAGAGAACTTCTATCTCACAAGTCCTGCCCGTATTAGTTGTTTACAAAAGTCTAGTGGTGGGTCCAAGTAAAGGAAGTGTACTGAAACAGCCATATCAATGCTTTTATTAGCATCTTCAAAAAACTCATTTAACAAATTAATAAAACATAAACCTACATTGCTTCCTCTTCAACAAGCCTTGCTATTCTATATGCTTCACAATTGGAGTTTTATTTTAGATAACTTTCAACCAACTGGTCAAATCAGGCATTAAACTAATTAACCTTTTCTCCCTTCTCCCCCATCAGTTTTAAAACTGGTGGTACTCTGGCTACTTTCCATTCTTCCTTGTACATAGGATGGTCTTAAGAACCTGTTACACTGTTACCTATTTTAGAGGATCAGCAATTTGATGTTTGAATTCTTAAAGTACTCAACAGATAGTCTCAACTTGGAGATTTGGTATTTTGAAATTTGTCAATAAAGTATAGAATTTCTTCTCCTACAATCATTATTTGCTTCAGCTCTTCTCCCCACCTAAAAATATCAGATAAAGCACCGGTAACTACCTTACTAAAAAAATTAAAATAATAACTACAGACGATCAATAAGAATTTACCCAAGACAATGAGAAAATTGAAATAATCAAAACATTCGCATACCTTGGTTCAACTATTCATGAAAACGGAGACTGCAGTCAGGAAATCAGAAGAAGACTAGGATTGGGAAGGGTAGTTATGAAAGACCTGGACAAGATCATAAAGTGTAAACTACTGATTGTCCCATTCTCTATAACTCTATTCTATATAACTCTGAACACTAAAATAAGGATAATCCAGACCATTGCATTCCCCATCACCATGTATGGATGTGAGAGCTGGACCTTGAAAAAAGCCAAGAGGAAGAAAAACAACTCATTTGAGATGTGATGCTGGAGAAGAGCGATGAGGATATTGTGGACAGCCAAGAAGACAAATAAATGGGTTTTAGAACAGATCAAGCATGAACTCTGTCTGGAAGCCAAGATGATGAGTCTGTTGTACTTTGGCCACAGCATGAGGAAAAAGGAATAATAAGAAGACAATGATGCTAGGAGAGGTGAAAGGCAGTAGAAAGTGAGGAAGACCACATGCCAGATGGCTAGACTCAATCAGGGTGGACACAGGCCTGGGCCTGCAGGACCTCAGCAAAGAGGTTAAGGACAGGGGGACTTAGAGATGTCTCATCTATAGGGTCGTCATAACTCAAAATCGACTTGAGGGCAGTTAGCAACAACAAAAACAATCTGCTTTATCTCTTCAACCGCAAAGGCAGGTGAAAAGAATTTATTCAGATTCTCCTTTACCTCCTTACTCTCATTTCAAACTTTCAATTCACTGACATCCAGTGATCCAACCGACTGGCTTTCTGTTCCTGATATATTGGAATAATTGTTTATTGTTCCTCTTGATTCTATTAGCAATATGTTTCTCAAAATCTTAATCTGCATCTCCAATTGTCTGTTGATTTTTTTTGTGTGTGTGTGTGCAAGTCTGCATTCCTGTTAAGTTTGTATCAAATGGACAAGACTTCCATATTTATCCTTTGTTCCAGACAGTTAAAAACACTTTAATATTTAATTTAATACTTAAATATTTAAACAGAAGGCATTATTTGTTGTCCCTTTTAAAATTTTGGAGTACAGAAAGTACTACCACATCATAATTTACTGAAGTCAGCCTCATGCTTGCTAAATGGCAATTGGCTTATTTAGTAAAAAGCTGAATACAAGTAGGAATCTGCTATGCCTTCAAATGAGGGAATTCCTTCCCTCACTCCCACCCACTTTCTAGTTGAGTGAAACCTAGCACTGTATCACAGGAGTTCTAGACATATCACAGGAGTTCTAGACAAATAGGCCTCCTCAGATTGCAGTAGTTCCCACCATAGGGTGGGCAGGGAATGTGAGAACTAAGCAACCCCCTTAGTATCAAACGCACAACAGCACATCTTACTGAACTAATGAGAAGAATCACTGACCTTCCTCAAACCAGAACACCAATAAACAAAAAGAGCCATACAGGGGAAACTTGTATGCAGGCCACACTGAGGTCAGTTTTAATAAAAGATAAAACCAGAATATATGCTAATAAAGCAACAAAAAATCTAAAACTAATTTAAAACAGCCACAAAACAAAACTAAAGACAACAGCACATGCCAGAAAAGTAAGAATCTGAAAATAAAACTGAAAACCAAAATATTTAAAAAAAAAAAAAAAAAGCTCACCAAAAAAGTTCCCAGTACCTCAGGCACACGTATCTACTTTGCATTCCTTCAGTTTCTTGCTTTCTCTCTCATACACGCAAAAGGAAGGTCAAAAAAGTGATAAATTCATCATAATACTCAGGATGCCCTTAGGTACATCCAAGAGTTCACATGTGTCCACTAAAACGTTAGGCATCTAATATTTAGAAAAGATCACCATGCTTTATCAAAAAGTTGGGGAAGTAATTTTACTATCTGCATAACCAACAGATGTTTCAGTAAGAGAATGTTTACCAAATGTATTCTGAGTTAATACATCCTGGTGTCTGTAATAAACTCTGAATCCACTTACAAAGATTTAGTATGGAACACATTGTTCTACCTTTCTGCCTATGTGACTGCTAGCCAGATTCTCTTACCCAGGGGTCGGCAACTTCTTCTCACCTGGGGCCAGTCCGCTGGTCTCCAGGTCTTCCATGGGCCGGGGGGGGGGGAAATGGTGCTGCGCATGCTCGCTCACGCATGCGCAGTACTTTCCATCATGCTGCGCATGCGTGAGCGAGTCACAGCCGCCATTTTGGAAAACAAAATGGCGGCAGTGGTGCATGTGGCAGCGGCACGCGCGGCAGTGGGCAGCAGCGGCAGCAGGACTGGCCTGGGGCGGTCCAAAGGCCCCGGGGGTTAGATCCGGCCCCCGGGCCGTAGGTTGCCGACCCCTGCTCTTACCCCTCGAAAATGATTGTTATTTAACTTTCATTTGCTTACAACGTCAAACCCTTGTATCTCCCCTTACAAGGATTAGGTAACAGGTAATGGGAAAACATTTGACTGAGACACCAAAAACAAAGGCATACTGGTGAGGCATAGCTCTATTTGCCAAGAACTTCTGTAACATATTGCTGCCAGAGGAGACTATACTCCAAGATAGATGGACAAATGGCTTAATATGATATGGTATGGCAGCTTTATAATACAGTCGGCCCTCCGTTTTCACAGGGGACCCATTCCAGACAGACAGGAAGACACACACACACACAAAAACAGAGACTCGCTGATATTCAAGCCCCATAGACTTGAATGGGGCACCCCCGAACTTAATGGAGGTCGCCCCTCCATGAATATTTTAAATTGCGGATCTCAAGTCCACAAGAATGGAGGGGCAACTGTAGTTGCTAAAATACATACATGGGACCTCATGTTCAAAGCACAAAACACCAAGCCTACAATATTGCTCACTTTTAAATTTTACAGAAACAGTTATCAGGCAGTTTCTCAGAGTGAACCTGAAACAAAAGCCTATCTGCTACCTGATTAGTCTAAGGTTCAAAGCAGACCGACAAGAAACGCTGGCTTTGGGGTGGCGTGGGGTTGTGGTGTATTCATGGCATATGTCCCAACTCCACTCACAAGATGGCATCACGCCGCCCATCCAATCAGACAGTGGCCAGTGTTGCGAAGTTCCTGCGGTACAACTTTTATACACACCGTGCCACAAAAACGGGGGAAAGCCACAGCAGAGGTGAAAAGGGCACCTTTTTTCTGCCCCAAAAAGGAGCAGCATTTTGCCGCTCCTTTTTTGGGCCAGAAAAATGCCAGATCGGGGTCACAGCATGCGGTTGTCACAGCCCCAATCAGGTGCTCAACAGGGCAGCGTTGAGCCACTCCTTCATGGCAGTCTGTTTCGCCCCTAAGTCTCATCTTCATATTTTCATAAAACATTCACTTGAATTATATATATATAATATAGCAATACTTATTTCTGCCAAATAAAGTAATGTTTTAAAAAATCATTGGTTAAGTAAATATAATGTGCAATACATACGATTCAAAATTTCAATCCTCTTAACAAAACCTCTGTAGTCTTTCCCTTAAGCACTGCAGACAAATTTGTTTCTTAAGTGTATACGCAACTTTTCTAAACAAAATACCAACCCAAGGCAGCTGGTATGGCGTCGCAATCTATTCTGAAGCCGCGCCCAATTCAAAGCTTTGTTCTTGACTTTCACTGCCTAAGATGGTTTAGGGCAGTATCACAGAAAGGATCACCTCTTTCAATATGCATGCACCTGTTTTCTTATTCTAAGTAATGACAGACAGACACTTTGGACATGCCTATATTGCCCACACCCTGTTTTTCAAGATTGGAATTGGGCTCTGAAAATGATTCCCTATCCCAATTTATACTAATTTAAATCTACTTGTTATTTCCATTCTTTGCACACAATCCTAAACTGGAGAGGCAGTGTCACTGGAAACAGAGGAACATGCTTCTTGAGTAA